ATTATTTATTAATTAAAAAATAAGATTTATTACATAGAAGATTTTAAAATATATAATGTATTAAAAATTCGTAGATTTTATTTATACAATCCAATTTTTTATTCTTTGGTAATTTATTTTGTTACATTTTGATATGTTAAAATTTAAAAGTTAAAAAATTTGATATTCTATTGATCTTATCAAATCAAAATATTGTGATTTTTCAACATTTCATGAAATAGTAAAGATAAAAATCAAATTTAAATTTGCATCTGAATATATACCAACTATAATAAAGACAAATCTAAAAATGTTTTTATAAACAATTAGTATGCCAATTTTTATTGAATTGAATAACATGTGATGATTGATGGCAATGTTTGATGTTATGAAAAGTGCAACTTTAAAAATTAAACTTGAGGAAAGACATCTTTGTGTTTTTTAAAATAAGATAAGATGGTTGCTACTTATGGTATAAGTAGCAGAATCTTGAACAATAAAGGAATAATCTATATATATCAACATACGTTTTAACATTATATATTTTTTTAAAAAAAAAAAATGTATTCAAGCTTAAAACATAAGAAATATTTGTAAGAAATTCGAATAATTATTAAAATGATTTCCCCCTATAATGCTGATAATTTATTCATTATAAAGTAAGATAATCTTTCATTACCAGACTTATCATAGATTTTAAATCAAGCTAAATAAATGTCACTTTTAGTCTTTAATTTGATGCAATTCATAAATTTTAATATAATCATATGGTATTTATAGTAATGGTTATATCCAAAAAGATAAAACAAAGATTTAATTTTATTAGACAAATTTATTGTTTAACTTCATAATAGAATATTTTCATAACATAAAAAAATACAATTATATTCAATACATGTGGGAGTAGAGGTTTCTTTTGGATGGAAAAAATTTTACCATGTAGATTTTATGCAAGTTTGATAAAATATACACATTCAATAATATTTCATAAAATATTCTTTGTACATATCATAAGTGTACTTCTAAGGTGTAAAAGTGGAAATTTTCTGGATTGTCTTTTTTGATATATTATGAGACATTATTATTCTTTATATTCAAACGACTACTATTTTAATTTAATTATAATAATTCAATCAATTACAATATTAATATTTAAATTCACGTGTAATTTTTAAAATTTTATCTTAATTTTAATAAGAAGATAAAGTCGAAGTTCTTTTTATTGGGGAGTCTAATCATATGTTAGTGAAATGTAATCCAAGAAACTTTATTAAGGCATAAGAATAAAAATGAGAAACACTACAAATATATGCAGGGGTAGTTGAATAGATGTGGTATATATATATATATATAGGGATATTCACTTTATTTATTTATTTTTTTTATCAATTAATTCTAAAAAATCAATGCATAATTAAAAATTACAGTTTCCATAGAATGTCGGAGAATTCTCAAGACAACGTTTTATAAAACAGTATAAAAATGTATTGCAAATTAAGTAGGCTTTAATTGATCAAATTTAGATAAACTCACCATTTAAAATATCAGTGCTGAGTACCATGTAAAATTATCTTATCTTTTTTGTGATTGGAACTGATAAGATTGAAGCAAATCAAGTCATGAGTTTTAGTATGCATTCACTAGTTGCAAATTGGAAATTAATTCGATAAATAAATTCTATCATTCTGGTTAACATGTTAATTGGATTCACCTAATTTTATTGCTTTTTAGGATATTGATCCAATATTATTCATTTTTCAGACAAAGTCAATTAAATTCAGTCTTGTTTTGAATTATAAATTTTTGTTTTTTGAGTTTTGTTTTGTTCTGTTCTTCTTGAATTTATCATATATTCATAAAAAATTTTAAGACTGTAATGTTGTTGCTAGTTTTTTTTTTTTTTTTTTTTTTTTTTTGTGTGTAGTATAGAATAGACTGGGAATAATTTGATTAAGTTTTATAAGGAAACTTTAGTAGTCATTTTGATTATATGTTTCCATGGGAAATGTTCTTTTGAAGAGTAAATGAAATAAATAAAGTAGTATTTTTTGGTACCACCTTGTACCAAAACTTCTGTAGAAGATTAATAAAAAATATTTTTTTGCAAAATTATCGTCCAGTAGAAGATTCTTGTAGAAAAACAAGTTGTGATGTCAAAAAATAGAACTATTATTTATTTATTTTTATTTTTTAACACTTTTGAGAAATATCTTGTATCAATTTAATTGCACACTTGCAACCATTGCTTCTAGCTCATTGCCAATTAACAAATAAATAATATGGTGCTTGAGAATTTGTTACAGATGTGTGTAAATATATACACATACACACACCATCAATCACAACCAAGTTGACTTAAATACACTCGATTTATCAAACTGAAAGAAAACAAATACATAATAATTGTTTGAAACACATGCCAAAATTAGTATTACAATTCAACACAAATCTTAATTGTGACCTCTGTTTAAAAGTCTAATTAACAATTTACAGCATAAATCATTATTTTCATTTCAAAGTTTGCAACTATAATCCCAAATTCTAAATGTTTATTTTTACTATAATGCAACACATACGCAAAAAGTACAAATTAGAATGAAATAATAAATTTAAAACCCACTTAAATTCATAACTAACTTCCAATGTTAAATTTCAAATCTATATTAACTTTAAACCTTGGAAAATGTATATATTCTTATTATAAATCTTAGAATGTATAAACGCATAAACATGTATATAATAAATTATTATTTTTATAATCTATATTCAAGATATTTGATTATTTTAATATTTTAAAATATTTACCAACTTCAGTTATTTTGTGGTCACCTCATGGCAATATTTGTTTAGACAAACAGATTTATTGATTTGATGTATGTATCTATCTATCGTTGATATATTTTTATTTTGTTTTTTATTTCAAAAAACAGTAGTTTTTAACTTACAAAATCTATACACTATGTCTATGTTGTAATTTTTTCACATGAATTTGCTCTATTTTTTAATCTTTACAAATGCTACTTTGTACTTGGCTTAAGTCTAGTACATTAAAAATTGATGTATTTTTTAAAATCTATTATACTGTCGTTTGATACATTCTGTAGGAATTATTATGTAATATATGTATGAAAGATCCATCAGGCAACTTAGTTCTTTTCACAATTGATATTTTTGTTTTCTTATGCACCATCAAATGTTTTATAAGTTCAAAGAAATGCTTTTATGCTTTGAAATCTTTGCCCATGCACTATTTAGTATCTATTAACAGCATGTCATTACACTGTATCAAATTTATATTGTGATGTATGTATATATACACACACACACACACACACACACAATAATATATATATATATATATATATATATATATCATAGAATAATTGTTCTTAGTTCCATTCAAAGTAGGTTTACACCCCAAATAGTTTTGTTTGTTGTCCAAATGCTTCCTCATAATATTCAGATAAATTGAACAAATTTTACTTTGAACTTAAAATCTTGGCCAAAGTCGTGTTGTCATTTACAAGCAATGGAAACGACTACATTCTCTCTTATTTCAAATTATATTCCAAAATTTTATTTTGTGTTAACCCAAATATTATGTTTGATTTTATTAGAAAATTGTTAAATTGACCCAAGCAATTACTAAATTGACCCACCCATCCTAACCATCACCAAAAAATTCTCCATTGCCAAATCCACATTAGTTAAAAACCAATGATATCATGGTTGGATTGATTTAACAAATACTTGGGTCATTTTAACAATTCCCCTTTATAATGACAACTTCAAAAAAATTAATTGCAGATGAGGAAGTGAGCCCTACGTTTGTGAAGGCAACGAGGATGAAGTTTTGAAATCTCATCCACCGCTACCAGCAGGACAGGCGGGTCATTCATCCTGTCCAATTGATAACCAGGTCGTGCCGCCGAGAGACGTCCAGCGGCAGTTGAGAAGCCGACGTCAGCGGCTCCCCCGTCTAGAAATAACGCTGACGTCATAGCCCGCAACACTCGTCGCGGAGCTTTCCCGCAGTAACGAACACAAAGCTCCTCCTCCTCCGACAAACACACAGAGAGCTCCTTGTTGCAGCGCAAGTGGATTCCGCTACTACTGACCATCGCACCGCATTGCACACACCACACACAGTCCTGCTTTAGCAAACCTCACGAATAGCTTCTCTCTCTCTCTGTCTGTATACTATTCTCTCCCTGTGCGTTTATTCAGAATCGGTATCTGTGGATCGCAGCCCTAGTTGCATTGTCCGGCGAGGTTGAGAATGTTCGGCAGATTCTACGGTCAACCACAAGGCCACACACATGGCCACGCTGGGGAGACCCTGGACAGTCCAGCGAGAGTAGTGCTGTAGGCCAGGACTGCCGAATGGTCCATCGATCTTTGAGGAGATAGATCGTCTGAGGACACATCCTGCTCCGTTCACAGCTTTATCGTTGTCCCGCACTAATATTCCCTGCAGCCAAAGCAGAGTAATAATGAGACATTGACAAGTGGTACTACACTCAATTCTGACCTTCCGCTCCTCATCTTTTGGTCTCCATATCCGTCTGTGACTCGTGCTTCGAGGCAGCATGTACATGAATAAACTGAAGGTGTTCACACTCTCCTTTTGAACAGCAACTTAGTCATGTTTTCAAATAACTCAATCACATCGAGGTCATCGCGTACCAATGCTGAGACTCGACATTTACATTGCAAGGAAGGATGGATTTCATGTAAACAATTTATATAAACATACTCTGGTAGAGGTATACACAAAAATAAGTACAAAAGTAAATTTATGTACATGTAAAGAAGTTGAAGGAAATTCACAAGTAAATTTTCGTGTGAGAAGAATACTTACCGAAATACTTAAGAAGTAACTGATGGTCACAGGAATGATAGATGAGGGCAAAAAGTCATGGCCAAGAAGGGAGGTGTACAGCTTCGCAAGAGCAGTGGCAGTGGCAGCAGCAGGTGTGAACGGGGATTTGATAGGAATGAATAACTTGCGAAAAGGTGGCCAATCTGCTTTAGTGTGCCGGAATAGGAGGCGGGTGAGGTAGCGAGACCGAGGTTGTGGTCCACTGGACGTTTCGAGCAAACCTGAGGCCGAATCGCGTCAAAGCTGTTTTCTTTCGTCCCATGAACACAGTTCGAAAGGGTGTGAAATTAGTTACACTCGTTATAGGCCCACAGTTCGACAGGTTTTGAAATTTGGTACACTCGTCTAGCGCACTTTCGAATTTATTCCGTCCAAATCAAATGGAGTAATTGGATTCTTGTGTGTCCTGAGTGAATGGATTCGAGGTGAACGATCGTGTGAATCAAGGCCGCTGCGCCGAAACGCAACGTAGAGTTGGTTTTGGTGATGAATTGGAGGTGTGTGATGGTAATTTTTGGCATCGATACTGCAATTAGGGCTTGCCTGTTGAGAGGTTGCGTGTCTGTGAAGGTGAGGGTTCAGTTTTTTTGGTCGAGAGTTTGATAGTTTTGGTTGTGGTTTTAGTACCTGCTAGCTCGTTTATCGAGTTTAGCAGGGTTTCATTCGTTACCTTGGGAATTTGACGTGCTAGCTTTAGATTAGACTGTCAGGAGGTTTAAAAAAGGATAGTTTCAGTAATCGGTGAATTCTGTCGCCACAAGCTAGTAGAAGTTGTGTTGTAGTGTTTTCAAATGAGGTCGTTGAAGGTCTGCTCTTGTTCGATCTGGTCATAAGGTGGTTAATAGCGTAGGGAGTTGTTTCTTACATGCCAATGTATCAGACGCTAGTGCCTTTGGTTGATTGAATTACCTGAACCAGTTTTTATTCTGTAACCCAGCCTGGTTTATCAAGAAAACGAGGTTACACTGCATACGTGGAGCTCAGAGTCTTTTGTCGGTTTACACTTCCATCTTTGTAATTCCGAAAACAATCAAGCCTCCTCTATCATTGTGTTTGTATGTCCAGGCGATTCCTCATCTTTTTCAACCCTACTTTCTTGTCGGTGTCAACGACTAATTAGAAATTTTCGACGCAGGAGAATCGGACGTGTTGAATTGAAGGGGCCTTCATTTCGTTTTGGGACGGATCTTCTTTTGATACCGAAATTCGGAAGGCCCTGAAACGCAGCTAAGCAACATGGAGGTGGGGGCGCTCCCTGTGAGATCTCTTAACTACCTTATGACGAAGACGGGGTTAGATGGCTCAGAAGACCATATGGTCGTGGTCGCTATTTCATTGTTCGTGACCTTGCTGTGCGCTTGCATTGTGCTGGGCCACTTGATGGAGGAATTTCAGTATATCAGCGAGTCTGTTACCGCCATCATCCTTGTAAGTTTTTTCGAAACAGCAAGATGTGACTGCAATTTATATTGATATTTGGATCTGCTGTTGTTGCTTGTAGCGGTTTTCGTATCTCGATTGCGAGTTAGATTTGAGAGACGATGGCATAATCGGGTACTGCAATAATACATTGTTTGGTAGCACAATTCAAGCCCGAGCTACAATTGCATCTTCAGCCACATTTTGGCCCTAGTTTAGTGAGTAGCAAAAGATTTAGCGAACGATGATTTGTTTTTCGTGTGGCTCATTATGACCGGATAAGTGACGCGATTTAGTCTCGTCTGTAATATGTTTAGGTTAGTGCCTTAGTGGAGTTCAAATAATCACATTTAAATACTGAAGTATTTATTCAGAAGTGTGTGGTGTGAATCTTAAACCACTATGATTTGGCCGTTTTAGGTGTGCCCTGCATTATGCATGAACATCTTTTCGTTAGTACTCTTCATTAGAATGATAAACCTTCCAGTAAATAGGATTGAAATTCTCAGTCATCTTTCCAGTCTCTGAACCTAATTAATTACGACGGTGTTTCTATTTTGTACTTAAACCCCTGAGAAATGAGTCTTGTCACCGATCATGAAATCAACCACGCTGGACAGAACTTTCTCAGAAGAATTAGATATTCTCTGAGCCCAATTGATTTTGGGTTTTTCTAACCCTTTGCGGTAGTCCCAAACCTCCTCTTATATCAATTCTTATCTTAGTTCAGACGGTAGCATCGTCTTCAGGAAAGAGGTAGCTCCATCATGCGCATTTCAACTGTTCAAACCTAGCATTCGCCAGAAATCGTGGCTTTGTGGTTTGTTGCTTTGTAGGTGTACATAGAAAGTAGGATCGTGCAAGTGGTCTTTTGCTTCTGACTTATATTAGTGTTCGTCTATGCTGCAGGGGTTTTGTACTGGGATCATCGTGCTGGTAGCAAGCAATGGAGCAAGCTCACATGTTTTGCAATTTAATGAAGAACTTTTCTTTATATATCTGCTACCTCCTATTATTTTTAATGCTGGGTAGGTGGCGTCCATTAAAAATACACAAACTCCAATCAATCCAGCGATTGTAGTTGACATTTAATCGTTTTGTCGAACAACGTGAGTTGGTTATGAATGAAACAGAATTTTTCAACTGGGACCTGTTTACCAAGCTAGGTGACTTTATTTAGGAAGGCACCGTATCTCTGTCCAATGATTTCGTAAACCTGCCGTTGCACGTGATCAGTTTTCAGGTCAAGAAGAAGCAGTTCTTCCGGAACTTTATTGCCATCATGCTTTACGGAGTAATTGGAGTCTTTATCTCTTTTGCCATTATCTCAGCAGGTAGGTGCTTAGATTCTTGTACCATAGGCTGAGATAGTTGTATAATTGTGTTTGAGCTTGGTTCCAGTTATTTAACATGCTCTGTTAATGCGCACCTTTGTCATACGTTGTTTCTTAGCTTGACTTGGCGTTGATTTGCAGTGTGTTTAGTTTTATAGTTTGGTTTACGTTTGTTACGACTGCAGCGTACTATATGGATCAAACTGCAAATGCTGTTATGTGTATAGTATATTTGTAAAGCATTGGTATGTTTTGTGGCAATGAAAGAGTGAGTTCTGACTCCTGATTTATTGAAGTTGATATTGATTCTCGTTCGCAGGTTGCAAATTCACGTTTCCTAAGTTTGGACTTGACAAACTGACGATAGGCGATTACCTTGGTATGACTTGGTTGCTTGTTAGTTGAACCGTTTGTCGATTTCTTGTTATACAAGTTGCTTGAGAAGATCGCTTCATCTTCCATTGGACTGATTCGACTGACATCATCATTGCAGCTCTTGGTACTATTTTCTCCGCTACAGACTCAGTTTGTGTTCTGCAGGTGGGCTGCTTTTTTCGTCACTGTCATTGAAGCACTGCTGTCAAGCTCATGTAGAAAGTGTAGAGAAGATTTCAAGCTTTCGTAGATTGGCAGAGTGTCTTTGCTCCATGATTTTATAGAGAAGCTGCATTCTTCTGTTCTTGAAAGTAATTGGGTTTTCCTCTGGCGTGGTTGACGACTTGTTTTTTAATGCAGGTTCTTAATCAGGATGATTCACCTCTACTATACAGTCTTGTGTTTGGAGAAGGAGTTGTCAATGATGCTACCTCTGTAGTCTTATTCCGGGCTGTACAGAAATTATCTTTCAAAGATTTCACGGGTATGGAAGTGATTCGAATTTGTGGAAGCTTCTTGCAGCTATTCTTCTCCAGTACTGTTCTGGGTGTTGCGGTGCGTGCACTTCTCTTGATTTTAAAGTTTTATTTTTTTTTATTTTTTATTTTTTCTCTCTCTCTCTCTCTCTCTCTCTCTCTCTCTCTCTCTCTCTCTCTCTCTCTCTCTCTCTCTCTCTCTCTCTCTCTCTCTCTCTCTCTCTCTCTCTCTCCTTTTGTTTTAGTTTCGCTTTCTGGTGGCGATTGTTGATGGCAAATTACGAGTATGATAAATTAAACGCCTTGTACATTCAGGTTTAGGGTCAGTGACCAGTTCATGGTACTTGATGATTCACCATAACGGTGCAACAATATAGCCAGCCCTTTGCCGAACATGGTTTTGTCACACGTGTTCGCCATGGGTTCAAGTGGCATTTTATACAAAATGCATTGTCGATTCAACTTTTTGCCTGTTGACTTGAAATTGCTGAGAAATATGCTCGTCTTCTTTTCTGTAGATTGGATTACTGAGTGCTTACATTATCAAGACTCTTTACCTAGCAAGGTAAGAACTTTCCTTAGATTGTGTCTTTAGGTTGCACATGATCTTAATATCTGAAACATGTGCTTGAAGGTCCTTGCTTGGGCAGAATTAGAATGTCTTTATTTTTTTGTCTGTTTTCTATTTTTGATCAAAGGCTACCGGTGCATTTTTCTGCAGGCATTCTACTGACCGTGAAATTGCATTAATGACCATTATGGCTTACTTGTCATATATCTTGGCCGAGGTCTACTTTCTCTCTCTCTACTATGTCAATTATGTATTGGGATCATATATTGTATTAGTTACTTGTTCAATCCCAATTCTGTTCTGACTTGCACGCAGCTTCCAGCTTCCTTGGCGAAGTATGTTGATCCTTTTCTGGACTATGAACTCAATGCTTGTTTTTCGTTTATTGCATGCAGCTTTTCTACTTGAGTGGGATTCTTACTGTCTTCTTTTGTGGCATTGTAATGTCCCACTATACCTGGCATAATGTTACTGAAAGCTCCCGAATAACCACCAGGTAAACAACCATCTCTTCTGAATCGGAATGTCCTGTCATTCAATGGAACACCTAAGTTGTTTAAATTATAGTCATATATTAATATCCTTTGTCTTAACACTCTGGATTAGTTGCAATTGATAATAAGGCTCAGTTGGAATATTTTTAGTGTTGCGTTGTTGATAGACGTTTTCTGCTGCTTAAATTTGTCAAAGTTATGGTACTAACCCTGGACTTGATGTACTGGAAGGCATGGCTTTGCGACTATGTCTTTTATTGCGGAGACTTTCATTTTTCTATATGTGGGAATGGATGCATTAGATGTGGACAAATGGAAGATGGTGCAGATATCGTAAGAAACTCTGGCTTCTCTTCATATTATGATTGGTCTACCCTACATATTATTAGCTATTCCTGTGAGTGTTTTTCATGTTTTCTCATTTTCTTGAGTATTGCTACTTGTATCCTGATCCTGATCCTGTTTGGAATATTCAGCTCAGGAGACTACTTCGGTCTCTTTTTTACTATCATTACCTTGGTCTTGGTTGGCCGAGCTGCTTTCGTATTTCCGCTGTCCGCACTTGCTAACTACATGCGCAAGAGCAGCGATACTAAAATCACGTTCCGTCAGCAGGTAGTTTCCTTTAGTTGAACGCTGTTTTTACGATATCCTTTACCCAAGTATCTGGCTTATGCAGGATTTCATCGTGACTCGATGTCTTTGTTTTATGCTTTTGTCAACATTGCGGTTGCTCATATTTAAGTGGGATCATATTCCCGTGTGTACTGCCACTTGACAGTGCTGAGTGTAATCGTTTTGGATTGTGTTATACTGCAGATTGTGATCTGGTGGGCTGGATTGATGAGAGGTGCAGTATCTATTGCCTTAGCATTTAATCAGGTATGGATTTCGTTAAACTTTTGGCAATAAGTAGTGCAGTACATATGAACTATTATTCTCGAATTTCATGCTGTAGTAGATTGGTGACTGAAGGGAGTAATTGTACCTTGACGAGGTCAGTTATTACCCTGAAAAGAGCTCTTTTGATGACTTAATTGCTGGCACTAACATTTTGAGTTTTGTATTACGTTTTGATTGTATTTCCCAGTTCACAAGTTCTGGAGATGCAAATCGTCCAGAATATGCGGCAGCCATCACTGCCACCATCGGCATTGTTCTATTTACATTGATGGTAGTTTATCCTGTTATCTTTTGGCTTCGTCAGTGCTCTGGAACTGTATGCTGTTTGAATTCACACCATGATGCACACTTTCTTTCAAGTTCAACACCTGTGGCACATTTTTCTTGTATGCGCAACACCAAAATAATTTATTGATTTGGACGTGGATGTTAAAATGGACTTAAATGGACCAACATTGACGAACAGATGGTGCGGTTCTGAAGCATTGTGGTGGCACTACATTGCATGTTAATTTAACTAGGGCAGGGTCTGAAAACAATTTGCTTCATATCATCACAGAACAATTGATGGAGTGTTTTTCTGGCTCCTTCCTGGTGTCGGAGTTGCTTACTAGTGGTTTTTGGTGCAGGTCTTTGGGACGGCCACCAAGCCGTTGATGCGCTGCGTGCTCCCACCGACTTCGAAATCAGAATATCTGGAATCTGAACCACATACTCCCAAGGATTTCAGTTTTTCTGACTTTCATGTCCCTCTGCTATTAGGATCCAACCAGCTAAGTGGAAGCCCCCGTCCTGTTGCACGAAGAAGCTCCTTGGTTATGCTTTTGTCGGCTCCAACCAACGTCATCCATGATGCATGGAGAGCCTTTGATGACGCTTACATGCGGCCTTTGTTTGGTGGCCGAGGTTTTGTTCCCTACAACTCTGACCCCTTGACAAATGCAGAGGATGATGTGGCGTATCCGTGTCACTAATTTACTAACTGTATGTGTAATATACGTAGTCTTTTTTCTTTTCCAATTGCCCTCACTCATCTGATTCTCGACGAGCGCGATAGCAGCACATATTTAATGGTGTTGTGGGTGATTGGGTTACATTGAAGTTTTTTTGGAGCTAGTTATATGGAAATACATGGGAGTAATAGGCATTTTAGTGATTCAATATCACTGTGAGAATTGGTACTTCGTATTGGAACATGTCCGATTTGTGTTTCTGGAATTTTTTCACCTGTAACAACTATGTCAAAATAAGTCGACATTTATATTTTTGACAATTTCTGAAATGACAGTGAAGAAATATTAGTAATCTGGAGCCACATGATGTAGATTATTGAGATCGGTTTACTTCAAACAGAAGCAGGTCTCGAGTTCTCACCATAATACCTGGTTTTATTACCCTTGATAGTGTGGTGGCTGTAATTTTTCTGTCGCGTTCGTTCATTTAATAAATTCTTCCCAGGTGCATTGCCCACACCTTGGCACTTAGATTTTTTTTCTCTTCCCGCTTACTAAATGTTTTTTGGGTGTATGCTTCTGTAATTACCAGTGCTGGTATTTGAGAGATATTTTTCTGTATTATCCTGATGCTTTTCAGGAGCGAGGCAAAAAAGCACCTACCTCCTAATTCTTCATGGTACTAGAGCAATGAACAGCTTAGTCTTGTGATGTAATTCCATTGCAAGCTATAGAGTGCAACTAGGTCTAGAGATGGCAAGTCTTGATGATGTCATGATGGAGATTGGTGACATGACATGAAAGTTAAGGATTAAGAATATGTTATAAATAATAGATTTGATAAAGATAATTAAGATAGTTTTTATTATTGATTTGGTTTGGTTTTTTGTTTATTTGTTTGTTAATTTTTTTTTATAGTAAGTGTTTGTTTTTATGACTACAATTAAAAGTGTTGTAACAATGGTCTTAATAATAAGAATTTGATGGATTGGTAGTGTGTCAGAAGATACAAAGACGTAAGAGTTTAAGTAATAACATGTTTTTTTAGAAAATATATAAATTGTGATTTCATTAATAAGATTAATGATTCTACTAGGTGCAAAAAATTGAAGCAGTAAAATCTAAATTTTTTTAAAGAAGAATGTACAACATGAATTTAAGTAAGATAAATTATATTAAAAATTAAACCTATTTTTAGTCTATAAACAATAATTGATCAATAATAATTAATTGCTGGCTAATACTTAATAGATGCTCTTTGTATTATCAAACATTTTTGAAGATAAGAGTTATTATTGTAGTGTATTGATTAAAAATTTCAATGCTTGATATGATATTATTTTTGTATTTTATTCCTATTAAAATATGAATAAAATAATAATATAATAAAAATTAAATTATTAATCTATTTTTAGTATAGATATAATTAATATAGTTATTTTAATTACATATTTAATTTTTATTAATTTTTTAATTAATAAATTATACTTTAGGTGTGATGAAAGTATGAAATAATTAATTTTTGTATAAAATAATAATATATCTATTGTATTACATTTTTAAAATATCAAAATGGCTCAAGCTACAAGCACACCCGAAATTGCTATACACACATCCATTATGTCTATATATACATTCAAGTTCTCTAATTGGCTGATTTAGGTCCTTTTTCCTTGTCCCAATGCAAATCACGGTCCTCTTCTCCTTTTCTTCTTTGCCTTGGTGTGGGTCTCTCTGCTAAGAAAAAGAAAAAAAGGATTGGAACTTGCTTTGGAATAAGGAAGAAGAGGAGGAAGTCCATGACAGCATTCAGACAGAAAAAAGGATTTGGATCAGCAAATTAGAGACCTTGGGTATGTGGCTTAATCCTATTAAAATATAGTTACAAATTTTACACCAATTTTTGATTTAATAAAAAAATGTTTTAAGTTTTATAAAATAAATGCAAGATAACATCTAAGTTTTTTTTTAAATAATAAATAATATGTTGGGTGTTAAATCCAATAAAATTAGTATATTTTGTAATATTTTTATGATTTTATAGTATACAAAAATAATTTATTTAAAAACAAATTCAAAGATTTAAAGAATCAAAGAACTAAAAATATTAATACTATGAGATATTTTTTTGGTACATTAAAAGATCATATTATTTTTTATAGACTTCAAATTCAAATAAAAATATATGAATAAAACAATAAGAAACTTTTGTCAAGAAAAAGAAACTAAACAAAAATATTCAAGATACAACAAAATTATACCAACATTTAATAATAACATTTATATTAAATTTATATATACATATACATATACATATGTGTATGTATTTTTTATTTTTTTTAAATTTTAATATGTAATATTTTAAAAATAAATATTTATTTAAGTTGGTTTTAAAAGAATGTTATATCTTATTAGATGATATCTATTTAATTCAATGTCTTCAAATATCTTCAAATTTTAATGAATTTCATGATAATTGAACAAATTTGGTAAATATTGTTATAATTTTTTTTTAATGAAATATTATATTATTTTAAAATTAAAAAACTACTTTTCCATATTTTCAAAGAGGATTCATATAAAATATGTGATACAAAATGATTTTATTATTTTTATATACATATAAAATATATGTCACCAAAGGTTTTGTTACTACCATCACTACTTCAAAATAATTCCAATCAAAAATTTTAGTCAATTTTTATTTTTCTACTTCTACTACAATCATTACATCATGATTTAATATATATGTTAAATGAGTTTTTCATTGGAGTTAAAAAAAAAACTTTATTGAGATGATGACTTCTTGCAGTGGCAATGGCAAAAAATTTGATTCCTAAAATTCCTTCAACTACTTTATTAACTTATTATTATCTATATTTAATAGTAAGTTTAATTTAATAATTTCTATTTTATTTTTTAAAAAAAACACAAAAAATATCATGTTTGTAATAATAGTCTTGCCTTTTGTAGTATATTTAAGATCTATATTAATTATAATAATATTTTTCTTTATTTCAATTATATCATTTATTTATTTTATATTTTTAATTAAAAAACAAAGACACATCAACACAATTTAGGAGTATGTAGTTATAGACTTGCTTAAGTTTGTAAAATCTTTAAATTTGATTTATTTCAATTATATGAAAAGAACTATTTAATCTTAAAATTAAATTTTTACTTATAAGAATATTATAAATTATTACATCTAAGTTATTTATTTTATTATTTCTCAATATCTAATTTTGTATAATATTTTAAAGTATTCTTTTCAAAATATATTTTTGTTTATTCCAAATAATATTTTTTATAATTATATTCTATTTAAAATAATTATTATTTAATTTTTTATTTTATTTAACTAATCTATGTTTTAATTTAATAAATGAAGTAATTGATATTTTATCTTTTTATAATTATAAAGTTTTATAATTTTTTAAAGTACTATCTTTAAATATTTTTAGTCATCTTTTAATAGTAAAATTTGAAGAATAGCATTAATATTATATCTTAGTATTTTTCCATTGTTGGTATTATTAACTATAAGTTATATATATATATATATATATATATATATATATTTTAGTATTAAAATATCTCATTAAACATTAATGTTCAACTAATATTCAAATTTTACATAATATAAAATCAAATGTAAAACTTTTTCTAAATTTATAAGTTTTATATATATAACATTGAAGATATATCAAATAAATTGAATCAATTTTAGTGTTTTGTAATTATTTAAATAATATATATATATATATATATATATATATATACACAAATTGAAAGGTTTTTATAAAATATGCATAATACAGTTTGTTTAGTAATCTAATTCACTTAATTAATACAAGTTAAATTATAAAACTTCATAATGAAAATGTATTATATATACAATTTTGACAACTTTTCTTTATCCAATTAAAAAGTTTTTAAAAAATCATATTAAATTTTTTATTTTCATGTAATTAAATAATCTTTGAAACATGACTAAAAGTTGTTTACTGGGTTTGAATTCTAATACATATAATTATTAATTACCTAATCAAAGAACTCTATAATGTTTCTATATATTAAAACACTTAACAAAGACTTAAATTATATTAAATTATTATTTAAAATAAAAGTAAAAATTCAACATTCTACCTATAAATAATTTTTATAAAATTATATATATATATATATATATATATAAGATATTGCTAATGTCACCGCAATTGTCACTATTGTTTCTATAATCCACTTAAGATATATATTTTATTTATTTATTTATTTTAATGAAATAATTAATTGAAAATTTTTATTTTTATTTTTTGAAATCATATAGAATTTTAATTTAATTTTAATAATAGAAAAAAAATAAATTAATAAGAATAAGCTTGTGGTGGTAAAAGCAAAAAGTATGGTAACAAAGAAAGGTTGACAAATTGTGGTGGCAAACTTTGGTGACAAGAGTAGTATTCTAATTGATGGTAGAAAAAATTATATATATATCATGCATTTTTTTGAAATTAAAGCAGTTTCATGAAATTTTACCGTCATTCAAGCGTAAGCATGTTTTTTTGTTTTACAGAAGTTGTTTATCGAAATTACACTTATGACATTTTACTAACGATTTCACTTATAGAATTGCACCACTAGGAATTTATTAATAAGGTGACGGATTTTGAAAGGGGGACATGAGGGCGACAATGCTTCCTCCGTCGACTTTAGAAATGGTGTCCCCGCAGAGATCTATGATCAAGGCGGAAACCATCGTTGAAGCTGTTGAGAATGTTTAGAAAGACACAAGAGTAATAGTAAGTCATACATACACATAAGAGTAGTAGTAATTCATATACACAAGAGGGTTTCTAAGGAGAGAGAGCTTCACACACACTTCTATTGATCTGGTTGTGTCTCATATACAAGAAGAGAGAAGATAAGAGGATGAATAGTACTTCTCTTCTAGACTCTAAATACTGTAGCTATGGTAATTATTGTAGTCTACAGTAAATATTGTGGAGAGCGTCAGCTACATTTAATGATCTCAACACTCTTCTTTGCTCATCATAATATTTATATAATATAAAATTTATATAGATTTATGATCTATACTTTTGTGTGATCTTATAAGATCAAGAATTGTTGCCTTATTAAAATCTTATCTAGGAAAACCTTATTTTATTTAAGGACAAAACCATAGATGAAGGAAAAAGAATACAACATCATTTTCTTTAATTATTTAAAGAGCTCATTAATTTTCTTATTCAAGAAAAGCAAGTCGCTGCATATCAATGCCATAAGTAAGTTGACGATGATTGCTTAATAGGAGAGCTTTCGTGAAGAGATCAGCAAGGTTATTTGTAGATTCAATTTTCTTAATTATAAGTGCTTGATCAATAATCAAGTCATGAGTATAACTAAAATACTTTGGATCAATATGCTTTGTCATGTCGCCTTTAATGAAACCAACTTGTATTTGTGCAATACAAGCACTATTATCTTTATGCAAGATAGTTGGAGAATCATCATATGAAAATCCACAGGTTGTTTGA